CTCTGCCTCCCTCTTTTTTTTCTTTCTTTCTTTCTTTCTTTCTTTCTTTCCTTTCTCCTTCCTTCCTTTTTCTTTAACTGTTTTCTTTCCTTGCACTTTTTTACTTTCCCTTTGATTTTTTTTCTTCCTTGCTTTATATTAGTTTCAGGGTTTTTTTTTAATCTTGTTTCAGTTTTAATAAAAATTATAAAAAGCAAATTGATTGAATCTCAACAGATGGCACCACTGACCCAACCCAACTGATCTTGGAAAGCAAAGCAGAATCAAACCTAGTTAGGGCTTGGAAAGGAGACCACAAGGAGAACTGAAGCTAGGTGGGAAATAAAAACAAGAGATCAGAGAATGTCCATACTCCGGCAAAGAGAACTTAATGGCTGTCCATCAGGTTACCAGAGTAGATTCAATCTGGATCGGTCACCAGGATCAGAGGTTGAATCTTCCAAACTTTTGACTCGTGCTGTAGCCCATTCTCAGGGAACTTCTCCAGGACAGGATGTCTCTCATATTCTGGTGAGAGAGAAGACTCCAGAACGAGTCTCAAAGTTCAGAAGACTAAACCTTTGGTCCCGGTGACCGATCCAGATTGGATCCTGCAACTTTATCCTGGGACACACGCATAATTGCCTTCAGAGCTTCCTCTGAAGACACGTGACCACATTTAATTGAAACAACTGCAAATCAAATGAAGTGGATTTTGCCCTGGTCCCTGCTTGGAGAGCAGAAGCTGGGATGCACACCTGGGTGAGTTGATATTTTGGAAGGAAGACGGGAAGACCAAAAAACTTAGGATGCTCCTTCTCCTTGATGTATCTTCCAAACTCTTCCCTTTTCTCAAACACATTTTCCTTCTCGTTGATCCGGGAAACCTTTTCCCAAGACCTTCTTTGAACCACCTTTGTCTGCACGGAAAGCAGCATTTTATTTCTGGATGGCTGCCGAGTTGCTATGGTTATCTCAGGAGGAACCAGAGTGAAACCTACAGAAAGGTGATTTTTGTGGCACTCGGGCTCCAGCTACATCCTCCCCACTTCATCCCAGGTGTCACTCCACGTTTGGTCTTCACAACATATCTCTGCTCCAAAACATCTACGTTTTGGCTCCCAGGGCTTGAAGGCCCCCAGGGCAGTGAACCCTAATTACAGCCTTGGGAAGCGTAGATGACATCTCACCCAACCATCTGAATCCAAACGAAATGTAACCCATTGGGAGTGAAGAGACAGAGATGAAACCCAGTCTGGGCTTCTGTTCTCCCCCGGTGTCTGCTTGAAGATGCGTTTCACAAAACTACAACGGAAAATGCAGATGGCGTGTTGGGATGTACAGTTGTTTTCCATTCTTGGCGTGCAAAATGGGAAGTCGGACTTCTGATGGAGGAGGGGAAGGAAGCCTCTTCTGCCCATATACAGAGAGGCAGAAGATGATTGCAAAACATGTCTCCTCCTCCTCTTCTCCTTCTTTCCTGCTCATTATCTACCTTCTTCTCCCCTCATCTGGCTACTCCTTCTTGTTCTTTTCTGCTCATTATCTATCTCCATCTCCTCCTCCTCCTCTTTCTTTCCTGCTCATTATTCATCTTCTCCTTCTCCTTTTCTGCTCATTATCTATCTTCTTCTCCCTTCATCCACTTGTTCTTTCCTGCTCATTATCTATCTATCTATCTATCTATCTATCTATCTATCTATCTATCTATCTATCTATCTATCTATCTATCTATCTATCTATCTATCTATCTACCTACCTACCTACCTATCATGTCTGTCTGTCTTTATCTACCTACCTACCTATCTATCTATCTCCTCCTCTTCCTCCTCCTCCTCCCTCTCCTTCTCCTTTCCTGCTCATTATTCATCATCTTCTTCTCCTTTCCTGCTCATTATTCGTCTTCTCCTTTTCCTTTCCTGCCCATTATCTATCTTCTCCTTCTGTTTCTCCTTCTCCTGCTGGCTCCAATGTTCTTCAAAACAGCAATGCCTGGAACCAAATGCTATGTGCCAAATCCTCCCCAGTAATCTGATTAGCAAGGCGATCACGCTTGGCTCTGGCTGTAAATAGGGTCATTTGTTATAAGCCGTTGTTTGCAGAGCTTGCGACTGCCAACTAATCTTTACCTTAAAACATCAGGGGGGTTGTGGATCACAGGGTGCAGCCTCAGAGTTTTGTGCTTCACGGGCCGCTTGTAAACTTCAGCAGAAAATGACCCTTATGCCAAGCGTTCTGGTCTTTAGTCATTCTGGAGCAGACAGTTTGCAAATTTTCCCTTCTCCTATAGTAGCTGGGCTGATGCTGCTAGACTACGCCTTGCTTGCTTTTCACTTAACGCAGCATTTACACAACCATTAATGTGTAAGTGAGGTTTATAGCTAAAGCATTTAGTGTCACTCCTGTTAATACGGCTTCAATCACAGTGGAAATTCACAAGATTTAGCCTTTCCTTCCTTCCTTCCTCTCTTTCTTATTTCTTTTCCTTCCTTCCTTCCTTCCTTCCTTCCTTCCTTCCTTCCTTCCTTCCTTCCTTCCTCTTTCTTTCTTTCTTTCTTTCTCTTTCTTTCTTTCTGTCTGTCATTCTTTCTTCTTTCTTTCTGTCATTCATTCATTCTTTCTTTCTTCCTTTCTCTTTCTTCTTTCTTTCTTTCTTTCTTTCTTTCTTTCTTTCTTTCTTTTTCTTTCCCGGCAGGCAGAATTTCAACTGAGGAAGCTTTGACATTCCTGGGGATAGATCACAAAGGATCAGCTTTTGATCAAATGGGGATTTTTACTGGGGAAATGGGGCGGGGGGGAGAGGATCCTTGGTTGGAAAGGATCCAATCTGGGTCAGTCACCGGGACCAGGGGTTTTGTCTCATGAACTTTCGGACTCAGGGAACTACAGATAGTCCTCAACTTACGACAAGTGAGTGCCGAATTTCTGTTGCTAAGTGACACATTTGTTAAGTGAGTTTTGCCCCCTTTTACGACGTTTCTTGCCACAGTCGTTAAGTAAATCGCTGCAGTTGGTGAATTAGTAATGGTTGTTACTTGCCACAGTTGTTTAATGAAACTGGCTTCCCCATTGACTTTGCTTGTCAAGAGGTCACAAAAGAGGATCACATGACCCAGGGACACTGCGACCGTCATAAATATGAGTCAGTTGCCCCAAGCGTCCGAATTTTGATCACGTGAAAATTGGGAATGCTGCAATTGTCATTAAGTGTGAAAGACGGTCATAAGTCGCTTTTTTCAGTGACGTCGTAACTTTTGAACGGTCACTAAATGAACAGTCGTAAGTCGAGAACTAACAGCCAAAACCACACAGAGATGTTCCCTACACACATCCGAAAGCTTGGAAGACCCACCCAGATTGGATCCTGCAACATTATCCTGGACACAGGTATATTTTACCTTCATTCGTAACCATTTTGGTCCACACAATTGCTCAGTGCAGGAACTTAATTAAAGTATGGCAAACTACGCTATGATGATAATTCAAATTGCACTTGTGTCAATGGAAGAGGATATCTGTAGCTCAGGGTTGAACTGCTGGTGCTCTCTGAGTGCAATTTAATTGTGTCAATTTAACTGGGCTTTAATTTAAATAGCCCGACTTATTTTAATCTGCATTTTGTTGTTGTTAGTTGCGAAGTCGTGTCCGACCCATCGCGACCCCATGGACAGCATTCCTCCAGGCCTTCCTGTCCTCTACCATCTTCTGGAGTCCAATTAAGCTCACGCCTACTGCTTCAGTGACTCCATCCAGCCACCTCCTTCTCTGTCGTCCCTTTCTTCTCTTGCCCTCCGTCTTTCCCAGCATCAGGCTCTTCTCCAGTGAGTCCTTCCTTCTCATTAGGTGGCCAAAGTACTTGAGTTTCAACTTCAGGATCTGGCCTTCTAAAGAGCAGTCGGGGTTGATCTCCTCTAGGACTGACCGGTTGGATCGCCTTGCAGTCCAAGGAACTCGCAGGAGTCTTCTCCAGCACCATAATTCAAAGGCCTCAATTTTTTGTCGCTTAGCCTTTCTTATGGTCCAACTTTCACAGCCTTTCTTATGGTCCAACTTTCAATTGGGAAAACCATGGCCTTGACTATACACACTTTTGTTGTCTCTGCTTTTTAGTATGCTGTCTAGATTTGCCATCTCATTACGAAAGCACAATATGGCTGCTATGCCCGCAGTTTTAATTGTTCAATACTTTAAAATTCAATAATAGATAAAAGAAATTTCTTGGGGAAGGACAACCCTTCTCAGTTTGAGATTGATTTAGCAAAGATATTAGTTCTAAGTAAGGGACACCAAAGACCAGGCCAATTCTATAATAATAATAATAATAATAATAATAATAATAATAATAATAATAATAATAATAATAATAATAATAATAGTAGTAGTAGTAGTAGTAGTAGTAGTAGTAGTAGTAGTAATAGCAATAGTAATAATATAACAGCAGCAACAGCAATAACGTAATAAAAAACTAACAGCAACAACAGCAACTATAACGTAATAAAAAACTAATAATAACAGCAACAATAACGTAATAAAAAACTTTTAAACATTTTCCCAGTCTTATTTTATACTCTATTTTTAAAAAATGTTTGTGTGTGTGTGCATGTTTTGGGGACGGGCATAGCAGAAACCAAACAAATCAACTTTTGTATTTTGACTTCAATAAATAAAACTTCCTTTTGAAAACAAACAACGCGACTTCTTCCCAGCTAAGAAAATCGCGCCTGCGCAGTAAAACTTTTCAAGCCAAACCTTGAGGGGATGGAAAAAGAGGCGCGGGTCACGTGACGGCAAAACCATAGAGTTCGACGACGGGGGTTGAAAGGAAGCCCAGAAAGAACCCCTGGCTCCATTTGAAACGCTTCTCCCAGTCTTTCAAAACCCAAGGGGGGAAGACACGTGTACTTACTCGGGCTGCTTCTCACGTGGGAAGGATAGTTCCACCCGCTCTAGAGCGGCACCCTCCGGCCCTTAAACGGAACTTCCGTTACGTCCGCCAATGAAACGACGGGATGACCGGAAAGGGCGGGGTTTGGCGCGGCAAGGAGGCTTTTGGAGTCCTCTTTCGGGGCCGCAGGGCAAAATTTCTCCTCAGGATCGCCGTGGTCATGGCCAGCCAGTCTCAGGGCATCCAGCAGCTGCTTCAGGCCGAGAAACGCGCCGCCGAGAAGGTGGCCGAGGCCCGCAAGCGTGAGTGGCCGGCCTGGCTGCGGAGGGAGCGAGCGGGGCTCTTTCCGAGGGGCTGGGACTACACCTCCCATCGCCCCCGGCCCTCAAGAGAGGGAGTCATCTCAGGCCTTTCTAGGCCTGCTTGTATGGGAGCGGTAGTCCCGAGGGAATGGGCCCCGCCTCCCATCATCCCCACCCGTTAGGGAAAGGGGAGGCTTGGAACCACTACATATCCCATCATCCTGCGTGGGAATGGCCAGCCGTAGCCTCAACAGAGGCCTTGCACCGCTTGCTTCATCCATTCTGTCCAAATTCTCTCCATGATGATGGCGGGGTGGGTTGGTTGGTTGGTTGGTTGGTTGGTTGGACTACACCTCCCATCGTCCCCCGCCCATAAGGGAGAGGCTTGGTCTACTACAGCCTTTCCAGCCCAGACTGCATGGGAGCGGTAGTCCAGAGGGATTGGGTCCCATGTCTCATCATTCCCAGCTTTTAGGAATAAGGGAAGGCCTAGAGCCACCACATGTCCCATCATCCTGCATGGGAATGGCCACCCCTAGCCTCCCCAGGGACCTGTTTCGCCCATTCAGAGGTTTTTGCTCCCATTTCCTTTGCATTGTGGTGATGGTGGTACTGGGGGTGTCTGGTTGGACTACATCACCTATGCTCCCCAGCACACAAGACCCATAGGCTACTTTAAAACTGAATCCAAATAAGGGTCGGTGCCTTTTCCTTGCCTGCTTTTCATTCATGCCTTTTCCTTGCCTGCTTTTTATGGGTCTGGGGTTTTAATTCGGTTGTTGTGTTTGTTATTGATTTGTGCACTTGGCTCATCAGTTGTGCTATTTAGTGACTTTTCATTAGGGGAGCTGCCCAGAGTTCCAGATGAGAGACGGTCGGCTCTACAAATTGAATCAATGAACGAATGGATGGATGGTTTTCTGGATCAGAGCAATTCTATTAATTCTGATTTTGAGGGGGTATAAATAAATAATGGAGCAATCAGAAGAATTTGCCCTAAGCTGACTTTTCCTAAGGAAAAAAGAAAAACAGGCTAGGGGTTCGGAAGCATTGACTCATCCTAGAGATTGCCTGTCTAGTTTGTTTATTTATTAACTGTCTCAAGGGCTGTGATTCTGGGCAGCTGATAATTAAAAACAACACACAGTAAACAAAAATATACTGTTTCATTAAAAAATAAAAACAGTCAACAAAATTATAGGTAACGTTATTACCACAAAGCTAAAAATAATCACCCTACTGAGCATAATCGAGAAACGGGCTCACTAAAGCATGTCCTTCCTTTCTCATTTTTCTAGGTTTTAGTTCTCCTGTTTGAAAGCTTTTAAAAACTGCTTTCATTGGGGAAATTTTCCTAAGGTGATTTTTGCTGTATCTATAAGCTTCCCATGTAGTTTTTCCTCTGAAGGTCAAGCTGCAAACCCCTTAATGCTGGTTGAACCTCGCAGAATTTGATGGCCAGCATATCCTGAGAAAAATGTATTACGATATATGAAATATTGTGATCAAAACCAAATCTTTGAAACATCTCCCCCAGCCTATTCCCTAGCAGAGAGCTTGGTTTGCATTATTCATTATGAAGGGAAGCTTCAATCCAAGGAAAGACGAATCAGGAATCTGAAAGACATCCTGCCTTCCTCTGAGAATAATTGTTGAATTCGGTTGCATAACTTACTTGTATTAAACCAATTTTAGTTTGCGGGCTTCCTGTGGTCTGCATAATGTCAGTTGCATACTGATAGTCCCCCAAGGTCTGACAGTGCATCATTTTAACTTGATTAAAACTGAATTGTGATGGTTATGGAATGTTGGTGTATTGTTAAGTACCTTGCCAGGATGTCTCTGCTGGGAATTCAGCTTAGCTAAAACCGCTGGTTTTTAAATTGTATGTTCAGCCTCTCCACGTTTGCGTGCATCTTTAATATAGCAGTCTCTAGAACCTTCAATTGGCAAGAGTCCAAGAAAGGAACTTAGTCAGGCCAAGAGCAGTGGACTCATATCATGTGCTGGAAAAGTTGCATGACTAGGAAAATAATTCTGACTAATGTGCATGTTTGTAAGTCTTTAGTTAAGAAACTGACTAGAGCCAACTCTGAATGTTCAAAAACTGGATTGTCTCCACATATCAGGCTTGTTGTTTCCGGTTCTGTGGGCTAAATTTTCTGGAAAAGACGAACTTTACATTACGCATTTGGACCTGATTCCAGTTAGTATTGTGGAATTGGTTATCTGGCCTGGAAGTAATCTCCTGTCTTTGGGGATTTATCCTATGTAATACAGATAATGCTTGATACACAACCACAATTGAGCCCCAAATTTATGTTGTTTAAGCAAGACACTTGTTAAGTGAGTTTTGCCACATTTTGCGACCTGTTTTACCACCATTGTTAAATGAATCACGGCAGTTAACGTAGTAACACAGTTGTAACACGGTGGTTTTCCTTGGCAACTGATGTGTTCCTCAGCTTGTAAATTATACATTTTAAGGGTGTGTTTGTTTTTTTTAATAAACTACCTGGGTTTGTTGCTGTGTCCACCTAACACACAAAAGGAAGAGCTTTGTGAGATATTTTTAGGCTTTTAGATTTTAATAATTTCAGCCTTGATTACTTCCTGAATATGACGTTACCGCCTGAAATTAATCTCAGAAAAGCCTCTTTTCTGTTTTGACAATCTGAACGTTTTGCTGTTGTTGTTTTTTTCAAAACCAGGGAAGAATCGGCGATTGAAGCAGGCTAAAGAAGAAGCTCAGGCCGAGATTGAACAGTATCGCTTGCAGAGGGAGAAGGACTTCAAAGCCAAAGAAGCTGCAGTGTGTTAAATTCTATGCTGGCTAATCTCTCTCTGTCTTGCTGTCTGTTTGTATATTAGAATGGAAATTCAGTTGGGGGTGCAAAAGGCTTTGTAGTGGCTTCACCCCCTTTGCCCCTTTGAGGCTCAGCCCTTCTCTCTTGCTAATACAGGTAGTCCTCAACTTACAGCAGTTTGTTTAGTGACCACTCAAAGTTACAACGCCATCGAAAAATGTGACTTATGACTGTTTTTCACAGTTACGACCTTTGCAGCATTCCCCCATGGTCACGTGATCAAAATTCGGACACTTGGCAGCTGACTCATACTTATGACGGTCGCGGTGTCCCGGGAGGGGTCACGTGATCCCCTTTTGCAACCTTCTGACAAGCAAAGTCGGTGGGGGAAGTCAGATTAATCAACCAGCAGTGTGCTGCAGCTGCCAAAAAAGCCAACACAGCGCTAGGCTGCATTAACGGGGATAGAATCAAGATCACGTGAAGTGTTAATACCGCTTTACAAGGCCTTGGTAAGGCCACACTTGGAATACTGCATCCAGTTTTGGTCACCACGATGTAAAAAAGATGTTGAGACTCTAGAAAGAGTACAGAGAAGAGCAACAAAGATGATTAGGGGACTGGAGGCTAAAACATATAAGGGAACGGTTGCTGGAATTGGGTCTGTCTAGTTTAATGAAGAGAAGGACCAGAGGGGACATGATAGCAGTGTTCCAGTATCTCAGGGGCTGCCCCAAAGAAGAGGGAGTCAAGCTATTCTCCAAAGCGCTAGAAGGCAGGACAAGAAGCAACGGGAAGCAACCTAGAACTAAGGAGAAACTTCCTGACAGTTAGAACAATTAGCCAGTGGAACAACCTGCCTCCAGAAGCGGTGAATGCTCCAACACTGGAAGTTTTTAAGAAGAAACTGGACAGCCATTTGTCCGAAACGGTATAGGGTTACCTGCCTGAGCAGGGGGTTGGACTTGATGACCTCCAAGGTCCCTTCCAACTTTATTATTATTACTAATTTACCAACTGCAGCGATTCCCTTAAGAACGGTGGCAAGAAGGGTTGTAACCTGGGGCAAAAATTTATACCAATGTCTCACTTAACAGCGGAAAGTTTGGGCTCCGTTGTGGTAGTAAGTTGAGGACTATCTGTAATTTTCCTGTTTTGGGTTTCCTGTTTTTTTGTTTTTTTTCCTTTTTGAAGGGATAAGCATTCAGTCTAGGACTCTTAAGCGCTAAATTGGCTTCCACAGTTTGGGGGGAATAATCCTCACATGACTCTGGGTTGTTAAAAAAGAAACAAAACCCAGATTTTTTTTGTGTGTGTGTGTGTGTTTGTTTTTGGCTTGCTTAAGCCCTGCTAGAAGCATCGAAGGTCCTCTGGGAAATGCAGAACTTAACTGGACGAGCTGATCTTCAATGGGTGCCTTCATTTTTCTTTTGTCCCCATTTATCGCAGGCGCTCGGTTCCCACGGCAGTTCCGCCACCGAGGTGGAACAGGGCACCCAGGAGAAGATGGCCGTTCTTGAGGAGAACTTCCAAAAGAATCGGGATGAAGTGCTGAACAGCTTGCTGAATTTGATCTTCGACATCAAACCTGAAATCCATGCGAACTATCGGATCAACGGATAGGCGAATCTTTTTTGTCCTTCAGGAAGTATCCAGCAATACCGGCTTTAGCTGCACCCCTTTTATAAAGGTGCATCACTTATTCCCAAGAGGTGTAGATTATCTCTTTCTCCTTTTTTCTCCTTTTTTTCATTCCCCCCTTTTATAGCATTTTTGAAGTTTCTATGTAGGCTGGTTCTGTGTTCCCCAAAGTGCATTATATCATAGAAGTGTAGTGTAGAAGGTTGATGTTGGATAAATCGTACTGAGTATTAAAGGAATTGCTTTGAACCCGAGAAGTATTTAAAAGTCAGGAAAGATAAGTGGCGTGCTACTTTTCTGTATCCTCCTTAAATTGCAAACTGTACGAATTAGGTACTCTGATAGAAAAATAAAATCCGTTCCTTGTCTTCACTCAGAGTAAAAAACAAAACAAAAAAGGAATTTTGAATAGTATTTGGATTGTATCTGAAAATGTTGAAATGAGTGTTATTTAAGTAATAACTGTATTCTCCTGTTGAACTTGAACATGCTGTTGCTAAGGTGATTGAAGAAAAAGTAAAGATCTGATCTGAGTTGCAAAGAAATTAAAACCTTTTTTGGGGGGTCCCTTTTCCTCTTGCTCAGAAATATGGATGTTGCTGACTTAAACGGGGGTTTGAGATCTGTTTTTAGTTTTGATGTGGCAGTAGGAAAGAAGCTCCTGATACTGTTTGGATTACACATTGAGTATAAGGGGAGTACAGCATAGATAGATAAATAGGTGGGTGGATGGGTGGATGGATGGATGGATGGATAGATAGATAGATAGATAGATAGATAGATAGATAGATAGATAGATAGATAGATAGATAGATAGATAGATAGAGATAGATAGATAGATAGATAGATAGATAGATAGATAGATAGATAGATAGATTTTATAAATTTGTCAACCACTCCAGTTGAAATCTTAATGATAAAGCACACTACAAATAAATATCAAGATATCTGTCAAAGTTCCAACTGACAAACTCAACCAAGCAAACACTTTTAAGACATTCCGATCTCTTAATGTAAAAATTTATTGAGTACATCATTTCGGCAGGTATGAAAGCAAAACCAGCTCTGGCAAAGCCCAGCCCAATCCCCTATAGTAAAAAAAAAAAAATAGAATTCCCCTCCCATCCCTGAACAGGTCACATTGCCCAATTAGGTGCAATTATGTTGTTATGAGAAAATGTCTCTTGAGTCGGGCCAGGCACCTGATGAACCGTCCTTGATTCTCACGGTCCGCCTTCTCTATCTCTGTAGTCTGCATTCCATTTCTCCATCCTCCCCCCCCCCCCCAGTTCGTTGGCCAGCTAAGAAGCCATAATTGTTGCACCAGCAAAGCGAGCTTCAAGCTTGACAATATATTTAAAAGACGGAACATACACAGGAACTTTAAAATTACCATGGTTATGAGCAATGTTTCCCTGCCCTGTTAAATTTTGACCAGTTCATCTGGGAAAAAGGTTATGTTTTCTTTTATTATTCCAAAAATAAAAAAAATGAAAATGAAAACATCAGTAAAATTCTTAGGCCCATGGTGAATATGTGTATTTGTTCCTTGAATTCTGGAGCTTTCGTGCAAACCTGCAGAAAAACATCCGACAGCTCCCAAACATTCTCCCTGAAGAATGAAGGCGAATATACATGTTCCAGGATAATGTTGCAGGATCCAATCTGGGTCAGTCACCGGGACCAGGGGTTTAGTTTTCTGAGCTTTTAGACTCATGCTGAAGCTCACCCTCAGAGAACATCCCTCTACCAGAATTTCTGTCCCTCTGTCTATCCATTCATCCATCCTGTCTTTCCGTCTATCAGCCATCCATCCATTTTATCTATCTATCTATCTTATCTATATCTATCTATCATCTATCCATCCATCCATCCATCCATCTAATCTCTCTCTTTTTATCTCATTTAATTACCTGCCCTCTATATTTATCTAATATGTCTATCTCATCTAATCTCTCATTTGCATCAATAAATCAATCAGCCATGCATATGTTCACCACTCTAACCATCCGTCCATCTGTCTATATCTATCAGCCATCCATATGTCCACCACTGTAACCGTCTGTCCATCCATCCATCCATCCATCAATCAGCCATCCATATGTCCACCACTGTAACCATCCATCCATCTAGCTATCTGCCATCCATATGTCCACCACTCTGTAACCATCCGTCTATCTATCTATCTATCTATCTATCTATCTATCTATCTATCTATCTATCTATCTATCTATCTATCTATCTATCTATCTATCTATCTATCTATCTATCCTCTCTTTTTATCATTTAATTACCTGTCCTCTCTATATCTATTTATCTAATCTGTCTATCTCATCTAATCTCTCATTTGCATCTATCTAGCTATCATCTATCTCGAATGAAGGTGAATCTACGTGTCCCAGGACAATGTTGCAGGATCCAATCTGGGTCAGTCACCGAGTTCAGAGGTTTCATCTTCCAAGCTTTTGGGCTCTTGCTGGAGCCCATTGCCAGGGAACTTCTATCTAGCAGAATGTGCGCTTCGGGGCTATTCTGTGTGTGATATTTATGTGGGTGGCTTTTTAGTTGTTGATTGCAGTGGTGTTGGCGCTGAGTCCTGCCAAGCCCTGTGCTTCCTAAGTATGCGATAAGCTGGCGTTAAATCAGCACTCCTGCTGACAGATTCTCCCTTTGCCAGAACACAGAGGCTCACTCCTGCTGGCGGGGATGGTGGTAATGAAGGAAGTTGTGTTTTGAGAGTGAGTGAATGTGCACAAGATAATAAGCAGCTGCTACTTGGACTTCTGAAAGTGAGTCATGAATTTGAAGTTTTGCAACATTCTGGCTGTCACGGTTCATTTATGAATGAATTCAAAGATTAGGCAAGACCTCATAAGCCTTCCAGTGAAAACCAGCTCAAGAATGTGGTTGTTTTTTTTTTCTGGAACAGAACAAGTGAAAATGGTATAAATGCTCCACGCTTCATACTCTTTGTACTTCTTGATATTAATGGCGGTGCTTTTAAGAAATATATTTAGCTGAACTTCGCTCTTTGCAAAACTAACTAGCTGCATAAAAACATCCTTGGCCAACAGCTTATGAAATCTGGCAGTCTTGTGGTTCAACACAGTGTTTTAAGGAAGACAGGAATAGGATGCTTTTCAAAAAAAATAAAATAAAGAAAGATAACAAGGTGCTTCCTAAATCTTACCCTTTGGACTGAGCTGCCAAATGGAGAAAATACTTTCATGGATTTTAAACTGGGTTCGCTTGCCCCAACAACGGAGTGGAGAGCAAGATCTGGATTAATATTAACAGCTACATTTCAGAACCTGTGGAGTTGATTACATTTTTTTTCAAATAAATGTTTCTGCCCCTTCATCACTTCCTCTTATATTTTAATCACAAGGAAATGCACCTTTTTCTTTCCAACTGAGCAACATGTGAAGGAAACGTAACAAGAATAGCATCGTACGAAAAACAAGGAACGCAATTATACTTATTAAGCTGTATTCACTCGCGGGTATATAAAAATTGCACTCCTGTTTTTTTTCTGTGTGATGCTGTTTCAATGTACTGTTCCCCATGAATTCAAGATGTCTGGGGGGAAATGGGAGGGAAAAAAAGCCACCTTCTTAGACACAGCCTCCATCAAACCTCCTAATCATCAAATTGTCCAGAATCCTACCCGTTTCTACAGTGTTTGTGGATATTGAGTGGACTTCAAGGAAACGATCGGTGCTTATGCCGCTGCTCCTTTCAAACTTTCTTGGCAATTGCCCCTAATTTTAATCTTTCTTTTTTTTTTCTTGCCACGGGCCAGTTTGTGGCGGTCATTTTAGTACGAAAAGCACATTGTCCTAATGGACTAGGGGTATTAGCCAGTGGTTCTCAACCTTTTTAATGCCGCGACCCCAACCGGTCGTAACTCGAGGACTAAACCGGTCGTAAGTCGAGGACTACCCAACCGGTCGTAAGTCGAGGACTTTCCCTGCCCGGGAGCGCCGCGCATGCGTGGTTCCGCCCCCTGCGCCGGCCGAGGCGTAGCTGGCAAGCGGCAGAGACGGAGCAGGCCGACCACCAGCTGGCCCAGCTCAAGGGAGGTAAGGCACCCGCCGGAAAAGGGGANTCCCCCATGGTCACGTGATCAAAATTCGGACACTTGGCAGCTGACTCATACTTATGACGGTCGCGGTGTCCCGGGAGGGGTCACGTGATCCCCTTTTGCAACCTTCTGACAAGCAAAGTCGGTGGGGGAAGTCAGATTAATCAACCAGCAGTGTGCTGCAGCTGCCAAAAAAGCCAACACAGCGCTAGGCTGCATTAACAGGGATAGAATCAAGATCACGTGAAGTGTTAATACCGCTTTACAAGGCCTTGGTAAGGCCACACTTGGAATCCTGCATCCAGTTTTGGTCACCACGATGTAAAAAAGATGCTGAGACTCTAGAAAGAGTACAGAGAAGAGCAACAAAGATGATTAGGGGACTGGAGGCTAAAACATATAAGGGAACGGTTGCTGGAATTGGGTCTGTCTAGTTTAATGAAGAGAAGGACCAGAGGGGACATGATAGCAGTGTTCCAGTATCTCAGGGGCTGCCCCAAAGAAGAGGGAGTCAAGCTATTCTCCAAAGCGCCAGAAGGCAGGACAAGAAGCAACGGGAAGCAACCTAGAACTAAGGAGAAACTTCCTGACAGTTAGAACAATTAGCCAGTGGAACAAGCTGCCTCCAGAAGTGGTGAATGCTCCAACACTGGAAGTTTTTAAGAAGAGACTGGACAGCCATTTGTCCGAAACGGTATAGGGTTACCTGCCTGAGCAGGGGGTTGGACTTGATGACCTCCAAGGTCCCTTCCAACTTTATTATTATTACTAATTTACCAACTGCAGTGATTCCCTTAAGAACGGTGGCAAGAAGGGTTGTAACCTGGGGCAAAATTTATACCAATGTCTCACTTAACAGTGGAAAGTTTGGGCTCCGTTGTGGTAGTAAGTTGAGGACTATCTGTAATTTTCCTGTTTTGGGTTTTGCCCCAAAAATCATCTCCCCCCCCCTTTTGAAGGGATAAGCGTTCAGTCTAGGACTCTTAAGCGCTAAATTGGCTTCTGCAGTTTGGGGGAATAATCCTCACATGACTCTGGGTTGTTAAAAAAGAAACAAAACCCAGATTTTTTTTGGTGTGTGTGTTTGTTTTTGGCTTGCTTAAGCCCTGCTAGAAGCATCGAAGGTCCTCTGGGAAATGCAGAACTTAACTGGACGAGCTGATCTTAAATGGGTGCCTTCATTTTTCTTTTATCCCCATTTATCACAGGCGCTCGGTTCCCACGGCAGTTCCGCCACCGAGGTGGAACAGGGCACCCAAGAGAAGATGGCCGTTCTTGAGGAGAACTTCCAAAAGAATCGGGATGAAGTGCTGAACAGCTTGTTGAATTTGATCTTCGACATCAAACCTGAAATCCATGCGAACTATCGGATCAACGGATAGGCGAATCTTTTTTGTCCTTCGGGAAGTATTCAGCAATACCGGCTTTAGCTGCACCCCTTTTATAAAGGTGCATCACTTATTCCCAAGAGGTGTAGATTATCTCTTTCTCTTTTTTTCTCCTCCTTTTTTTCATTCCCCCTTTTATAGCATTTTTGAAGTTTCTATGTAGGCTGGTTCTGTGTTCCCCAAAGTGCATTATATCATAGAAGTGTAGTGTAGAAGGTTGATGTTGGATAAATCGTACTGAGTATTAAAGGAATTGCTTTGAACCCGAGAAGTATTTAAAAGTCAGGAAAGATAAGTGGCGTGCTACTTTTCTGTATCCTCCTTAAATTGCAAACTGTACGAATTAGGTACTCTGATAGAAAAATAAAATCCGTTCCTTGTCTTCACTCAGAGTAAAAAACAAAACAAAAAAGGAATTTTGAATAGTATTTGGATTGTATCTGAAAATGTTGAAATGAGTGTTATTTAAGTAATAACTGTATTCTCCTGTTGAACTTGAACAAGCTGTTGCTAAGGTGATTGAAGAAAAAGTAAAGATCTGATCTGAGTTGCAAAGAAATTAAAACCTTTTTTGGGGGTCCCTTTTCCTCTTGCTCAGAAATATGGATGTTGCTGACTTAAACGGGGGTTTGAGATCTGTTTTTAGTTTTGATGTGGCAGTAGGAAAGAAGCTCCTGATACTGTTTGGATTACACATTTGAGTATAAGGGGAGTACAGCATAGATAGATAAATAGGTGGGTGGGTGGGTGGGTGGGTGGGTGGATAGATAGATAGATAGATAGATAGATAGATAGATAGATAGATAGATAGATAGATAGATAGATAGATAGATAGATAGATAGATAGATTTTATAAATTTGTCAACCACTCCAGTTGAAATCTTAAGGATAAAGCACACTACAAATAAATATCAAGATATCTGTCAAAGTTCCAACTGACAAACCCAACCAAGCAAACACCTTTAAGACATTCCGATCTCTTAATGTAAAACTTTATTGAGTACATCATTTCGGCAGGTATGAAAGCAAAACCAGCTCTGGCAAAGCCCAGCCCAAACCCCTATAGTAAAAAAAAAAAAAATAGAATTCCCCTCCCATCCCTGAACAGGTCACATTGCCCAATTAGGTGCAATTATGTTGTTATGAGAAAATGTCTCTTGAGTCGGGCCAGGCACCTGGTGAACCGTCCTTGATTCTCACGGTCCGCCTTCTCTATCTCTGTAGTCTGCATTCCATTTCTCCATCCTCCTCCCCCCCCCCCCAAGTTCGTTGGCCAGCTAAGAAGCCATAATTGTTGCACCAGCAAAGCGAGCTTCAAGCTTGACAATATCTTTAAAAGACGGAACATACACAGGCACTTTCTTTTAAAATTACCATTGTTATGAGCAATGTTTCCCTGCCCTGTTAAATTTTGACCAGTTCATCTGGGAAAAAGGTTATGTTTTCTTTTATTATTCCAAAAATAAAAAAAAATGAAAATGAAAACATCAGTAAAATTCTCAGGCCCATGGTGAATATGTGTATTTGTTCCTTGAATTCTGGAGCTTTCGTGCAAACCTGCAGAAAAACATCCGACAGCTCCCAAATAGATTCTCCCTGAAGAATGAAGGCGAATATACATGTCCCAGGATAATGTTGCAGGATCCAATCTGGGTCAGTCACTGGGACCAGGGGTTTAGTTTTCTGAGCTTTTAGACTCCTGCTGAAGCTTATCCTCAGAGAACATCCCTCTACCAGAATTTCTGTCCCTCTGTCTATCCATTCATCCATCCATCCTGTCTTTCCGTCTATCTAGCAGCCATCCATCCATTTTATCTATCTATCTATCTATCTATCTATCTATCTATCTATCTATCTATCTATCTATCTATCTATCTATCTATCTATCTATCTATCTATCTATCTAATCTCTCTCTCGCCTAGAGAGCAGCTGGAGGGCCAGCCGAACCGAATCCGACCGAACACAGGTAAGGACACATGTTAGATCCTACCTAGTGGCGATGAGGGTGGTTAGAACTAATTATTATTCCACTCTCATCGCGTCATCAGATAACCGCCCGGCCGCCCTCTTCAGGGTGACCCGCTCTCTCCTTCAATTGAGGGGAGGCGGGGACC